TTTCTCATACCATGTTCAATAACAGGCACTGGGTATTCCAACAAGATTCGGCGCCAGCTCATAGAGCGAAGAGCACACAAGACTGGCTGGTGGGGCGTGAAATCGACTTCATCCGGCACGAAGACTGGCCCTCCTCCAGTCCAGATTTGAATCCGTTAGATTACAAGATATGGCAACACTTGGAGGAAAAGGCGTGCTCAAAGCTTCATCCCAATTTGGAGTCACTCAAGACATCCTTGATTAAGGCAGCCGCCGATATTGACATGGACCTCGTTCGTGCTGCGATAGACGACTGGCCGCGCAGATTGAAGGCCTATATTCAAAATCACGGAGGTCATTTTGAATAAACTTTAGTGTCATAAGAATCTATGTTTTGTTAAGTTTAATTTGGTATATAAATGGTTACATAATGAATAAACTTGTTTCAATTATTTTATATTAAACATGTGACAGAATTTATGACCTGACTAGGTATATAGAAGGTACAACAGGCGATCTTATCGCTCTGGAATCGATTTCTTCGAGACAACCGTTTTGCGCAAACAACATTCGTTTATAACGAATTCGACTAAGGAAGGTGTACATAAATTAGACAATAATAAGTAAAGGAAAAAAATATACAAAAATACGATGATGACTGTTGATGATAGGTAGGATAGATACAATTTTGGACGGGAATTATAGTGGAAAATATTAGAGCTCCAAGTGATAAGCTTTGAGTAGATTTTTAAAGGAAAAAGGGACTGAGCACGTCACATATTTTTATATTTCTTCGTCCATAAATCAACGATTTTTTCTTAAAAAGAGGATGTATGTCCTATAATACAAAGCGAAAGATTTTTGGTAGAACCTATATGACGATCATGAGAGGAGAAGATGAACTCAAAGCGGTCTTTCAAGTAACTTGGAGTGGAGGTATTGAACAGTAAGCAGTCCATCTCATAGTAAATGGCCACTGTAATCAAATTTGCAAATGCAGTGAAATAACACAAATTTACTTCTATATTTAAACTATTATATGATTTCTATAATGATACATTATGTGCGATTTAATATTAACTAATCCCGAACTTTTTTTAAATAGCATAAGAGTGATAAACGAGCACACAGTCCATCTCATAGTAAGTTGCTGTGGCCCATAGACATTTACATGTATCCTCGATAACGAATCAAAACGCAGATGCGTTGTCACCCGTGAGAACTAAGATAGAATGCCTCGTTTCCAGTAAAAAGGGTCTCCGGTTCTCTACACTCATCATACGAAACACGGCATTAAGCTGCTATTTTACACTGGTATTCTGTAAGAGCGTGGTCTTACCCCGATCGAGCCGACCCATTCGTGCTACAACTATACTACTAATATAACTGTAGCGTGTAAAAATAAAGCTTATTTTACAGATTTTCAAATCAATTTATTTTGAAAATCAATTAGTTTCATTTAATGTATATTGTTTGCGTAAATATAAGAAATCATAATAAATTTTTATCTAATCTTGATTTTATACGGGAATTTTAAATTATTGCAATTATTTGGTCATTGGTTTTCAATGACCAAGTAATTGCAATTTAATGACCAAGTAATTGTAATTTACTATCAATACACGACGCGTTTAATTTATTTATTTTTGTATAATATTTAATATTATTTGGCACTGGTAAAGTCAGAATAAATGCTGGGATTTATCCAATAAAGTACCGGTAGTTAAATTAGGTCTATATATAGGGTTATATTGCAATAAACGACCAAATTTGCGGAGCAGGGTCAGAATAACTAATATAGGCAAATGGTGTAGAAAAATGATTTAAAAAATATCTCAAACATTCAATCCTTTTTATCTTTTAAATTCAAAATGCGTGGTAATACATTATTTTTACTGATTTTACTGCGCACGTACACAATCTTTCGTAATGGTCGATCGGTAGGCAAAAACGTTGTAACCCAATAATCACATTCGATTTGGGATAATTTCAAATGAATATAGAAGCTTTATTTACTCGTATTTTCAAAAACTGCAATAGTGGTATATTATTATTTATAAATTCGAACTTAAGATTAAAATTTGATACTTTTTGAAAAATAATCCTGTATATATCTTATATATAAGGTTCTCTATATCCATTTAATTGCCGTTTTGTGTAACTGGCCACTTTAAACTGCATTAATAATAATGGTTCAATTTTGTGTTCTAAATTCAAATAAATTTTATATTTGAGACATGTTATTTCTTTTTCAAGTAAAAGTATTTTTATTCACTTCTTTTTTTGAGTTTTTTTTTTTGTAATATCGCTATATTAATAACCGTGATTATAAGGTGCTTCTGATTTGACTAGTGACTTCCCATAAATAACGCTATAACCATCTTGTTTATTAAATTTTTGTCAACTAGGGTGTTCTCCGCGTCCCCACCGCACTTAACGCTCTCCTGGACACAAATCTTGAGTGCGACCTGTTTGCGTTCGAATGGACGGTAATATTGACTGAATGCCTGAAGTTTTGTGAGCGAGAACAATGAATATGTTGTCTTTAATTAATGTAACTGGTTTCACCGTTTTAATTAACCGACTTCAAAAAAAGGAGGAGGTTCTCAATTCGTAGGAATTTTTGTTTTATGTATGTTCACCGATTACTTGAAGACGCTTGAACCGATCTGGAAAATTCTTCTTTTATTTGAAAACTGGTACTTCTCATGTAGTCCTATATAAATTTGATCAAGGTCTGACCAGTAGTTTTGAGTTATATTGAAGTTTTTTCTACATGTCATCTGTTTTTACGTGGTAGAGCCATGATGCAGCTATATTAGTGGTATAGTTGTAGCACAAATGGGTCGAATCGACCGGGGAAGGACCACGCTTTCACAGAATACCAGCGTAAAATAGCAGCGTAACGCTGTTTCGTATGGTGAGTGTATAGAACCGGAGATCCTTTTTACTGGAAACGAGGCATTCAATTTAGTCCTCACGGGTGACGACGCATCTGTATTTTGATTCGTAATCAATGTAGATTTTTAGAATGTAGATGTTTATGGACCACATCATTCACTTACCATCAAGTGGACTGTGTACTCGTTTGTTACCCTTACGCTAAATATTTTTTTTTAATTTTACCACGTAAGATTATTAAAGTAAAAATAAATTAATTAATAAATAAAAGGCATAAAATACCCCAATAGCAATGTTCAAGGTCGGTCTTATGTTACTACTGCCAAGCATTGCACTTAAGGCAAATCTTTTCTACATCGGGAAAGATCCATAATAGTCTGCAGTGGACTATCCTCTTCTTTATCGGCACGTAACATTTTGTTGACTCCGGCTGTGATTGAAACTAAGGACTTTTCTTAATTTTTCTTTATAGGATAGGGTGACAAACGAGCACACAGTCCACCTGATGGTAAGTGGTTGCTGTGACCCATAGACATCTACATTTATCCTCAATAAAGAATCAAAATGCGGATGCGTTGTCACCCGTGAGGACTAAGGCGGAATGCCTCTTTTCCAGTAAAAAGGGTATCCGGTTCTCTACACTCACCATACGAAACACAGCAGTGTCAAGCTGACATTTTACGCTGGTATTCTGTGAGAGTGTGGTCCTTCCCCGGTCAAGCCGACCCATTCGTGGTACAACTATACTACTAATATAGCTGCAGCATGGTTCTACCACGTAAAAAACTAACTTTTATTTACTAGCGATTTCTTTAATTACTAGCGATCCGCCCCGGCTTCACACAGTTGATTCTAGATCTCGACACTAACGCCACCTACAAAGTCCATTTGTGAATCTAAACTATGCTCTAATCAACTTAATCACACAAACATAATTACATCAAAATCTGTCTAGCCGTTTAGGAGTTCTGTCACTTACACACGAGCAGAAGAATTATATATTATATAATATATATATGTTAGACATATAAAATTTTTTCTTAAATTATTCCGTCTATTATTGGAAACCGCATTAAAATGCATTGTAAATTTTAAAAGATATAAGCGTACAGACGGGGAGTAGCGACTTTGTTTCATACTATGTAGATATTAATCTATACTAATAAAATAAACCGAAAGTGTTTTTGTTTTTCTGTTTGTTTGTTTAAACGCGCTAATCTCTGGAACTACTACTCCGATTTGAAGAATTCTTTTTTGTATATTATAGCCAAATTCATGTGGAATAGTAAAGGCTATCTAGCATTAGGCTCTCCTCTCAGCTAGATTTAAATATTGATTATTGTTAAGGAAGTCAGAAGAAAAGGCGCTCCCGAAATTATTTATCACCGTGCGTTGATGTAATGGTTGATGTTATCATATGTAAATATAATGTTCTACAAAATTATAGATCTTTACTCCATCTAAAAAAACGTTCGCGATACCATAATAGGTCTATTTCATAAACATAAGACACAATTAGTCAGTTGGTGGGTTTAACAGCATGGTCACCCATAACCAAGTTCGAACCAAGAAGGCCACAGATGCGTTTACAGTTATTATTCTGAAATTAACCATGTTAACCGTAACAATGAGGTAAAATGCTATTGTAATGCCGTTGCGAAAAATGCGATTGTAAAGGTGATGATGATGCTGTGGCCCATAGACATCTACATCTGTCCTCGTTTGCGAATCAAAATACAGATGCGTTGTCAGCCGTGAGGACTAAGATGGCATGCCTCTTTTCCAGTAAAAAGGGTCTCCGGTTCTCTACACTCACCATACGAAACACAGCAGCATTAAGCTGCTATTTTATGCTATTGTACTGTTAGAGTGTGGTCTTTCCCCGGTCAACCGACCCATTCGTGCTACAACTATACAATTAATATAGCTGCAGCATGGTTGTACAATGTATTTTATTAAAGATAAAAAGTACAGAATGTATGAATCAATTCCTCTTCACCATTTACTTATATTACTTATTCTGAACCTACTTTGCAAATTTGGCCGGTTATTGCAAAAGTAATAACTATACAGGGTTAAGTTCTATAGAAATTTTAAAATGAAACACAGTTGCGAGTGACTTAATCAGTCATTTTAATATGGACAATAATATCAACTGGAGTATCATCATCCATGTCAATCTCGTTGGTGGCGGACATATTGGAGTCGTTACTTCTATCGCTAACAGTCTTCACAAACTTTTTAACAGTTTTATTTCTTTTTCTTTTCGTGTTCTTTTTCTTGCTTTTAGGGAATCTCTTTTTCTTTACCAGTAACCATTTGTCCTTCTCTTTCTTCTCTAATCTCTTCTTACCTAGTTTCTTTTTGAATTTTTTCACTTTTTTCTTTCGCACTTTAGGAAACTCTTTTACTTTACTAAATTCAACCGACTCAGAAGGTCTGTTCGAAGTTTGATCTGATTCCTGAAATAAATATATAACTTTACTATCTATTTGATACAAATGGATGGTGGTATCTACGATCCAAACTGATGTTGAGATTTAAAAATATATGTATTTTTCAACGTGATACTTTGTTAAATATCAGATACGAATAAATATATTTTCTTACAAATACACAATACCTGAAGAGCAAACTTCTCATAGCTGCCAATCCAATCTCCAAGTGCTCTGGTGTGATTTTTCGCTTCTACCTGCAAAATTTTAAAGTCATACTACTGTTCCAAAAACAAAAACAAACCCAATTTTAAACAGATTAATTTTTTTAAATTAATGCAATATTTGAAAAGAAACTTAAATTTTTAAAAAAAAGGTCTAATCATGAAGACACTTAAAGTACCTAATACTTTTTTGTGACACGTAAGTTTCTTATTTTTGTTCATTTTCTCATTTTTTTATTATTGTTAATTTTTTTTATATTTATTTCTTCTTCTGGGTTGTCTGGAAGATATTGCTATGTAGCAATAAGACCGCCCTTTGTATTTCCCACATTAGTTGTTTATTTTTTTCTTTTTGATATTTTTATCTATTCTTGGTGTACAATAAAGAGTATTGTATTGTATTGTAAGTTTTCACAGCCTATCAAAGTACACTGTTGAATGCAGGCCTCCTCAAAGATTCTCTCATAAGGTGAATACTTGCCATAGTTGTCACGCTTGGCAAGCGGGTTGGCAACCCCAGTTTTTTAAGAAGTCACTGCTGCCCATCTCGTAATTTGTTTCCCCCTTTCGCCTCTTATGAGATTCATATATTTACATTTAAACGAAATAGTTATACCGCCATTTACCAGAAGACATAAGATCTCTCTGGCATATTCCATAGCCTTTTCCTACAACACCCACGGGACAGATAGGGTGATGGAAATTCTTACTGCACCTCACACCACACATCAACTGTATATATCTGAATATGTGACGTATTTATATAAATTGTTTACAATAGATCACACCAGTTAGGTTCTTTGTTTTTAATAAGACTTTAAGAAGGGGCAAACAAACGGGTATGCATGCATAAGTGACTGCCACCGCCCTTGAACAACTGTAACTACACCAAAGCAATTGCAAGTGCTGTACTGGTCTTTGAAAAAGGCTTTTTTCTTGAAGGTCCGAAAATAACATCGGTCCGTAAAATCACTAACTGTTAAGCTGAATTCTTTTTTTTTTTCTTTATTGTTCATAGAACCAACACCACGTCACATTCTTGTCATTTTTTTTTTAGAAAATGTTGACAAATGAATACACAGTCAAAGGGATAGTAAGTGGATGCTGTAGCCCATACACATCTACATTTATCCTCAATTATTAAGAATCAAAGTGTCACCCCTGAGGACTAATATGGAATGCCTCGTTTCCAGTAAAAAGGGTCTCCGGTTGTCTACACTCACCATACGAAACACAGCAACATTGAGCTGCTATTTTACGCTGATATTTTGTGAGAACGTGGTCCTACCCCGTTCGGGGCGACCCATTCCTGCTACAACCATAATATAGCTGCAGCGTGGCTCTACTACATATAAAAACTACAAACGGTATATTGTTGTATAATTTTTGTGATACCGTCAGAACATAACATTTCACAGTAAAATGTGGCTGAAGATCAGACCATGGATTAGAGACACACCACGTACAAATTAAACGAAACTTGCAAGTAATTTAAGCTTAGGTCGAAGTTTAAATGAATAGACACGCAGAGACGTAATTGCCTGTGGCAGCAACTTAGAGTTTCAATTATTCCCAATTTTGCATTGGTGCTTAGACATTGACATTGATTGAAGACAATGGATGTCGAAGAATTAACGCTTCAGAAGCGATTATATAATAATTTATTTTATTTTCTATACGAGTATATTATGTCGGTTTTTACTCTGATTTAAAATATTAACCCTTTTGTGTGGATTGAGGAATATCACAAGTACAAGTATACCAGACTAGCGATCCGCCCCGGCTTTGTACGGCACAATGCCACCTACCAGGTCCAACTGTAAATCTAAACCATTCTCTAATCAACTTAATCACACACTCAAAATTTAATCAAAATCGGTCAAGCCGTTTAGGAGTTCAGTCGCGTACACACGGACAGAAGAATTATATTACATATAATATACATATCAATCTACCTCTTGAATCATTCTGTCTATTGATAAAAACCGTGTCAAAATCCGTTGCATAGATATTTTTTTTATGGAAGAGGGGGCAAACGAGCATGCGGCTCACCTGATGGTAAGTGACTAACGCCGCCCATGAACAACCGCAACACCAGGGGAATTGCAGGTGCGTTGCCAGCCTTTTAGAAATGTGTAAGCTCTTTTCTTGAAGGTCTCTAAGTCGTATCGGTCCGGAAAAATTGCCGGTGGTAAACAATTCCACAGAGAAGTTGTACGAGGAAGAAAACTCCTAGTAAAACGCATAGTTGTGGACCGCCAAGCATCCAAATGGTTGACGAGACTTTCACTGGCGGATAGCTGATGTTATAAAGAGTAACTTAGAATACTTTTAGAAAAATAATTAGGGTTCCGCGCAAAAAAAATTGCTAATTTTAACACTTGTTTGCTATTCACTTTGTTGTTACATACGGCATTCTAGTTGTTACCTTGACCTTGTAATATTCCCTCTTACAATCAAAAAGGTAAAAAAAAATAAAAAATAAACAGTTACTAAAACAAATAATTTAAAAATATTTTTTTTACAACCGACTTCAATATACATTATTAAGGATAATTCAAAAACTATTGGTCAGACCATGATCAAATATATATGGGACCTCATGAAAAGCACCGGTTTTCAAATAAAAAAATCATTGAAATCGGTTCACCTAGCCAAAAGTTATGAGGCAACACACATAAAAAAAATCATACAGTCGAATTGAGTGCCTCCTCCTTTTAGAAGTTGTTAGAAAAATAATAAAATAATTCCACACAATGGCTTCTGAAGTCGAAGCTTTAATTCTTTGTTACACTACGTTTTTTACACAGCACTGACATCAGAAAGTTTTAGGTGGCAATTATTTTTTTCTTTTTTATTATTTATTGTATTACGTGTTCTTCTTAAGTGTCCATTAGCGGCCGCGCCACCGTCTTCGCTAAATTATAATTTACTGACAATGTCCACACGTCACATTTTAGTTCTTTTTTTTTATAGACGAAGGATAGCAAACGGGCACAAGTTCACCTGATGGTAAGTGGTTGCTGTGACTCATAGACATCCACATCTATCCTCGATTAAGAATCAAAATGCAGATGCGTTGTCACCCGTGAGGACTAAGGTGGAATGCCTATTTTCCAGTAAAAATGGTCTCCGGTTCTCTACACTCACCATACGAAATAGCAGCATTAAACTGCTATTTTACGCTGGTATTCTATGAGAGCATGGTCCTACTCCAGTCGAGATGACCCATTCATGCTACAACCATAATATAGCTGCAACGAAGCTCTACCACGTATTGAAAAGTAAAGTTATAAGAAGATTAGTTGTAAATATTCATTAAATTTTTATACTACTTGTATTAAATTTTTATTAATTAAAAAAATTTTAAAAATAAAATTGTAATTAAAATTCTTTAAATTATTTCATTTAATCCTCAAAACGATAATAAAAACCTAATCAATATATATTAAAAAAGAATTTTTCAAGTAAATTCTTACCTGATTAGTTTTAACTTCCAATTTTAAATACAAAATAATTAACAATAATTGCCAGCAACTACATTTCAAATTCATTGCTCATTGAAATAATAAATTGCAATAGCTGTATCGCTTACCAGTGTAAAGCATCGTTCGTTATCGCATTGGTTTAGCAAATATTTTGGGCTTTTACTAAATATGTTGTTGCACTAACGTCGCTTTTCACGTGTTCATAAAAACCAGAGTTTGAGATAACGTGCGTGCTTTACACGTGTTAAACCTGCAAAATGAATTGTAATAACTTTGCCTCAGGCCTTTATTCTCGTAACGGTAGACCTATGAACACTATTAATTAGACTATCCATCCAGGTAGTAGTTATTAATGTGAGAAATTCGAAAAAAGTCGTACCTTTTTTTTAGTAATTATTGTAAAAGGATCCCTTCTTTATATCTTTATTTTATTTCTGAAATTTATATTATATAATTATAACTTTTAACAAAAAAGTGTATATTATGTACTTATGTACGCACGTAGGAAATTATACTTTTTAGCGTAACAAAACAAAAAAAAACTTGAGAGACAATTACCCACTGAAGTTGTCGCTTTTAGGTGTTAGTGTGCGCGCACATCGTAACAAATTCATGGTGTCGTTTTTAGGTGTCGGTATGCGCGCGCATCGTAAAAATTCACTGTCATCATTTTTCCCAAACGCCCCAAAAGAAGTATAGCTTCAAAAGTAAAAACCGACTTCAAATTGCTAGTTGAACTAATATATCGCTTAATTTATGTTGAGTATCCATTCGTTGTATACCAAAACAAACAAATACTTTTCTGAAAACTACATCAAAATCGGTTCATCTAAACGCGAGATAATCGCGGACAAAGATACATTTATACGGGTCAACCTGAGAAACTTTTTTTTTAATCGTTTAAAAATAAATTTATCTCTTATAGGCAAACCATAAACACTGTTCTTGTTATAAAATGATATGTTCTCCTATAATTGGTAGTACATAATAATTTGTAGATGTAAGGCATGTGTTAGATGTAAGTTAATATGTGCAACTGTTGGAGATCCACACAAATAAACAAATAAATAAATATCAATATTAAATTTTCAGATATCGATAAATGTTAAGCACCAGGTTTGCAGCGAAACACCCCAACACGAGTAAATTAAATTACTCTCTGGGGATGTTTCACCACTAATTTATGAAACAGTTTATAGAGAAATAAATGTATCATTGAAAGGTACTGTGCTATAGATAAAAAAATAATGTTTGTCAAATAAAGTGTAAATAATACACGTAATTTTCCCATACGAAATGCTTTAACCAGTTAAATAGTCCAATTTCAACCCGATCGACCGAGTATAAACAAAAAAAAACTCCAATAACAGGGATAAAATCGTTGGATGTTAACAATATCCCCAGTGACAACCCTAATCCAATAATTTAAACGTAACGTTATAAAGTCAATTTGTTATAATGCCGCTTGGGTAAAAGCGGGGCTTTAATGTACCCGTATCTTACAGAAAAATTACACTGTTAATATAACTGGTGATATATTCGAAG